CTCCCTCCCTCCCTCCCTCTCCCCCCTCCGCCCACAAACACGACGGCCCACACCAGTCGACCTCACGTCGTCCGAAGGCGACAGGGCCGCCAAGCGTCCCCGCTCCATGGCCTCCATCTTCGACAAGCCCGTCCGACCAACCGGCGCCGAAGGCGCCGCTGCCGCCGCCGCGCTAGCCAAACAGAGAGAGGAGAGCGGGTATGGTCGCTGGAAGCCTACCCCAGCCCCGCTCCCCGTCTGCCGCCACCACCACTTCTTGTCGAAACCCCTCCATGACGATGTAGACTCAGGGAACGATGCTGCTGCTGCTACTGCTGCCGCTACCTCCTGCGGGGATGATGGCGTGGGGGGACGGCGGTTGCGGGCGGGGCGGGGGGACGGGATCCCCAGAGATGGTGGTCTTCCCGAAGCCTCTTCTTCTTCTTCCTCGGCGGCGAGCGGAGGTGTTTCGGCATCTAGGCAGGGTGAAGACGACGAGAGTGGTGGTGTTGGCTGTGCTGCTTGCGCTGTGATGGACGCTGACTTGTTGCGGTCACTTCGCATGCCCGGCACCACCGGCGGCGGCGGCGGCGGCGGCGGCAGTGTTTACTCGAACGGCGGCGTCTTGGGCGACAGCAGCAGCAAGGACGGCAAGGGTGATGATGGCGATGACGTCAGCATGGCGATTCCTCCGCTTCCGACGGTGCCCTTGAGGGAGGCAGTCGAGGTCACCGCCGCGGCATCCGAGAGAGAGGCCTCGGCTTGGAGCCGCGCCGTCACAGCAACAGCAACAACAGCAGCAGCAACAGCAGCAGCAGCAACAGAGCCACCATCTACGGCGACGGCGGCGAAGAAGGCCAACAACAACGCTAGCGGCGGTGGTGGTAGGGGTAGCAGATATTTTGCGTCGCCCGCAGCCAGGCTGTTCTCCGGAGGGCCCGCTGTTGGTGCTGGTGGGAGAGGCGGCGGCGGCGGCGACGACGACGGCGGGGGTGCTGTGCAACCGCCTGCTGCTAGGGGTGACGGTGGTGTTGAAGATGCCGGGATGGTGGGTGTTGAAGGTATCGGGGGCAACGACGATGACGTCATGCTTGTGTCGTCGAAGGAAAGCACGGAGAAAGCCCAGTCCCCGGCGGCGGCAGCAGTCAGAGTCTCCTCTAGAGGTAGGCGAGGTAGCGCCGCTGCCGCCGCCATCGGGGGGGGCGGGGGTGCTGTCGCCTCCGCGGGGGAAGAAGTTGCCTGGACTGAGACAGGGCACGGGGAGGAAGAGGAGCTGGGGCAGCACGATCAGGAGGAGATCATTTCGTCCGGGCGTAGGGAGAGGATGAAGAAGACTGCAAGGGCTAGGCGGGCGGAGGCTGACGCGGACGCCCTGTGGACAGAGGTACGTACAACTCGATACACCCCCCCCCCTTGTTGGTTTGGCGTCCAGTGAAAGCATCCCCATAACGAAGTTTTTTTGTTTCAGTATGAATCACTATGCTATACACCCACTCTATGGGTTCGGTGTCCAGTTTACGTATCCCCCTGACGACGTGGACAGAGGTACCATCGTTTCGTCTGGCATCCAAACGATTGACCAATCAAACGCTTCCACTTCTACGCGTACCGCCCGCGGTCCCCCGACGAGGCCTGCGGCACCCAAACGCTCCACCAATCAAGTGCTTCCGTTTCGTCTAAGCACCCCAACCCTTTTCCAATCAAACGCTGCCTTTTCGTCTGGCAACCAATCCCGTGACCAATCGAATTTCTCCGTTTCGTCTATGTCCCCAAACGCTTAAACAATCAAATGCTTCCCATTTCCAGGTGTACCGCCCGCGGTCCCCCGACGAGGTCTGCGGCAACGCCATGCAGATGGCGGCGCTGTCCAAGTGGCTGGGGGAGTGGAAGGAGAAGCGGAAGGGTGGGGGGGGCGGGGACCGAGCCGGTCCATCCCCGGGTAGCGGAGGAGACTCTGGGGCAGAGTCTGAGGTGAGCCAACTATCAAGCGGTTTCTCGTGGACAGTCTTTTCAGTTTTCACCCGGTCTCACCCGGTCTTTGGGTGAACTCTTAGGAGTTTCACGAACACGGAAAATAACTGTAGATCGACTTGGGGGATGAGTCGGAATTCGTTTCTGTTGATGCCTGTTTCCTTTGCTCCAGAAGGAGATTTGTTGGGTATACCCGGTAATACATGGTAGTGCATACCGCGTGATGGAGTCCATGCACACGCGGCTATCGGAGAGTCGAAGACGAGCTATCTAACGCGATGTTTGTCTTATCCATGACATCGTGCATGATCTTGTTGCACCATTGTTCAGTATGACTGGGTGCGATTCTCAGACGACGAAGAGGACGAGGGCGCGAGGCTGTGCAACATGGCGATGCTCTGTGGCCCGCCGGGGGTGGGCAAGACAAGCGCTGTGTACGGGTGAGAAGAGACAGACAGACAGACAGACAGACAGACAGACAGACACTCAGACAGACAGACAGACAGACAGACAGACAGACAGACAGACAGACAGGCAGACAGACAGAGACAGAGCGAGAGAGGAAAAGAGAGAAGGAGACAGAGCCACGATTGCTTCCTTCCTTGTTGGGCCATCTGGATTTATTTATTCAAGTGATGAAGCCGCCCTCCACATCCTCCACATGCAAGGACGCGTGGGCGGGGTGCAAATCGCCGATAACGCGATAGTCTACCCACTCCTCACGATTATATAAATCAGCAGTGTAAGCCTAAAAACAGACTCGAAATAGGCCCAGTACCCAGCCGGTTTCCCTCCACTCACTACAAGACCCCAACACATGCCGTTAGGCCGTGGTTATATCTCGAACGGGTGGTCGTTCTGTGTGTATTTTTTTATCTAACATATTAGTCGATGGCGTTTCTGTGAGTTTCCGTCGCCTCTTGGGTGATTGGTCGTGACTGACTGCCCTCGATAACGAAGTACCACGCCACAAGAACGTGTATCGATGGTTTTCGATTCGTGTTCGTCATTCCCTGCGTTTTGGTCAATTCAATGCAGGTGCGCTACGGCGTTAGGGTACGAGGTTATCGAGGTGAACCCTTCCCAGCTGCGGTCGGGAGCCGCCATCCGCAGGCTGTTCGGGGAAGCTACCCAGTCACACCACGTCTCCTCCGCCGAAACCAGCCCCAAGCCAGGTACCATTGGTATGTAGTGTAGAGTATACACCACAGTTTAGGCTCTTGGGGTACACTACCCATCAGCTGGTCATGCAGTTCCACAACCATTTTTTCCCAACTGCGGTTCCCCCATGCGAATTGACAAGCGCCCATACCAAGCCAGGTACAGTCGACCCCGCTTTAAGGAAACCAAAATTAAGGAAACTACCCGAGTAAAGGAAACAATTTTTCGCCGAAACACAATACCCCGCAGAATGAAAAATATACGGGGGGGTCCATATTCTAGTCCGCGGACCCCCTTAAAGCACGTTTTCAGCGTACCCGCTTCGCCGGCAGCGAGGTCTGCTGCTTCACCTGCTGTCTGCGGTATGCAAAGATTCGTTTCACCTACCGGTGCGTCCTCTGCACCTGGGTTAAACGGTGTGGGGAACTCACCTGCACGATCACGAAGCTCGTGTCGGGTATCCACACATGCCCGTGCGGTCGGTGGATGCACGCGTTTTGTGGTCGCGGCATCGGGAAGGAAGGCTACGGACAGCAGAGGGAGTGCACACGGAATGTCAGAAGTCGTAGCGTTGAGTGTTTGCGGCTTGTCGGCCATACGCCGTATTTTGTGCTTGTGTCTGAATGGCGCTCCTGTGGAGGGTAACGCAGGAGAGTTTCTGCGTGCGCTCCCCCAGGGGTAAACAAGAGTCACCAGGTGAATTTGAAGTGTCCATCAGGTATTTTCCGTGCTGTGTGGTGGTGTTCAGCAATAAAAAATTATTTTCTCGCCAACTCCCAGCCTCTTTTTTATTCCAATAATGCCCTGCCCAGGGCGCACCTTTTGAGGTATGTATGTACCGCCACCATTGACGTCGGGGATGGGGCGTTCTGATCCCCTCAAGTTTAAGGAAACTTCCCCGCGTTAAGGAAACATGTTTCGAAGCAAAACCATGTGTTTCCTTAAAGCGGGGTCGACTGTATGTACGTGAAGACAAAACTATTTGATACCCTTCCCTCCTGTACAACAGGGTTCCGTCAGTTTCTCGCTGGCGTTGCCGGCAAATGAATCGAAGCTCGCCAAGCCGCAGGCCCCCTTTATCTCACTGCGAACGTTGACGTTCATTCGCAAAGTCCCCCGTACGCCATCAGTATGCTCTGGTTCAAACGCGACGCACGCCTTGCGGCCAAGCCTGGTGTTGCCGTCCGCAAGAGCTAATCCGGTCTGTCCCCCGCGTTATCTGGCCGCCTTATATCGTTCCTGAGAATGATCCACAATGTTATGAAAAAGAAAACCAATGTTGTTCCGAAAAAATGGTTCACAATATTACTAAAAAAGACACCCAGTATTGTTACGAAAAACGATCTGCAGTGATGCGAACAAGAAACCCAGTATTGTCAGGAAAAATAATTTACAACAATATTTAAAGAAATCCAGTATATTGTTACGAAAAATGATTTTTTATCACAGGCACCGATGGCATTACCGGAGGCAACAAAAAATCTCCTTCCCTGGGCGGTGTGTTCCCCTCCGACCGAGCTGTAGCGGGAGGCCGTGGAAGGGGTAGGGGACGGGGGAGAGGGAGGGGACGTGGGAGGGGGAGGGGGGGCCGCGGAGGGCGAGGAAGGGGGGATAGGGGGGGGGGGGAAGGAGCCGGTGGTGTTGCGGGGGAGGGGGCGGAGGTGATGCGCGTGGTGGCTCCCGCCGGCAACAAGCTCACCCTCATCCTCTTCGAGGTACGCATGGCACGTGATGGCTATCATGTTTCTCACGAAGTGGATTTTTTTTTGCATGTCTCAGGAAGTGGACCGTTTTTATTTCATGGTTCACGATGTTTTACTGCTTCTTTGTGTCATTTTTCACGAAGTTGACTTTATTCTTGTAGGTATGTTTCACGAAGTGGAACTTTTTTTCCTCCATGTTTCAGGAAGTGTTGTTGCATGTTTCAGAAAGTGCACTTTTTTTGTTTGTTTCTCATGTTTCAGGAAGTGGACGTGGTGTTCGAGGAGGACGTAGGCTTTCTTGGTGCCCTCAGGGACCTCCGGAGGGCGGCCAAGTGCCCCGTCATACTCACGGCTGAGACGTACAGGCGCGAGTACGCCCCCCTCTCGTGCAACATCTGGCACCTGCCTCGCCCCAGGCTGGCTGAGGTGAGGCTCACGACCTCTTGGAGGTTGTTGCTATTGTTGTTTTTGCGTGCTGTCACCCTTGGCAAGAGTTGTACTTCCAAGTGTGCAATACACGTGTCACGCGTTTGTTTCTTGATGATTGATGATTGCTACGGCAAGTTCCAGTACTTCCAAGTGTGCAATACACTTGTCACGCGTTTGTTTCTTAATGATTGATGATTGCTACGGCAAGTTCCCTGTCACATCTTCCCGTGCAACATCTGGCGCTTGCCTCGCCCCAGGCTTCGTTTTTTTAACGCGGCTGTCATCCTTTTCTAGATTACGGAACAATATCTTTCGTAGGCGTTTTTGCGTTGAAGATGCCCTGTGCCACTGAAGCCTCACTTCATTGTATGGCAGTAAAGAACATGGCATCGTCGTTTTCGTCTTGTCTGGCATGGCAGCTCGAGGCGTGTTCATTGTCCTTGCATTCGAGGCGTGTTCATTATCCTTACACACGACGCGTGTTCATTGTCCTTGCATACGAGGCGTGTTCATTATCCT